TTTTTTTTGTATGATGGTTGACCTGCATCTAACATAATGGACTAATAAGTGAGAGAAGGCAAACATTGAGATGATTATCAGTTTAAGTTAAACTGGTAATCTAGGACGGTGAGTACTCAATGCCAAGGTCTAGTTTCATTTCCTCTTACCATAAAGCAAGGGTCTTGTTAGAACAAACTTGATATAGCAATGTCTTTAAGATCAAGATCCTGAGTAAATTAGGAAATGTGAAGAAAAATCTTCTTGGGATTCTTGGCTCGAAATAAGATCATGCTCTTATTTCGAGCCGAGAACCCCGAGAAGATTTTTCTTCTCCTGCCATAGAAATTGCAAGTGGTTATGTGTAATGTGTAAATGTGATTGCCAAACTTAATTGCAAAAGGCGTTGTGTTCTTCGATTAGAGGGAACTTGAATATTTGATATCTCAAAGAATTGCAAGTGGTTATGTGTAATGTGTATGGTACCCCAATATCCTGTGGTTAGATTATAAAACATCACGATGGGTACAAGTTAATAACATGGGCTCTATGTTATTCAGTATGTTGCAAAATTATTGTCGTGTTTGGAATTGTTTTTGTTTTTATTTTTCACATTTTTCAAGAAAGAAAAAATAAAAACGATTCTAAAACGGCGTTTGGCACAATTAAAGACAAAAAAGCAGAAATTTAAACGATTTTTTAGTTTAGTGTAAAATGAGAGAGAAATAAAAAATGACTTTTAGTTATTTTTCAGTTTTTGTTTTTGTTTTCTCCTCTCTCGAGTAGAGAGAGAAACATTAATGGGTTTTTTATACTAAAAATAATTTCTTGAAGAAGCTACCAAACTCATTTTTAAAAATGATTTCTGTTTGAGATTAAAAACGTTTTCGTTTTCATTTTCATATAAAAAATAAAATAATTTTAGAATGAGTTCCAAACGCACTTTATGTTTGTACCTTATCTTTACAAAGTAAAGATTACTCCTAATTATTCTCCACATGCATAAAGAAGCTCACAAACTCTTTTTTAATGTGGTTGCAGATATAGCTTAGGTAATTCCACACTCAACTCTAGTACAAGGTGTAGAATTCAAATCCCCACCTCATGTTCAAAAAGAATAAATAATAATAATGAGGGAAATAGTAAATCATTCGAGAGAAAAAGCCGAGAGGAAAAGAAATGGAGGGACATTTAGGGGGAGAAAAAGAAGAGCAGAGAAAACTAAGGAGATCAAATAGGAAAGGAGAAAAAAAAAAATCTGGAAAGAGACAGTTGGAGGAAATTTTTTTTTATTTTTTTTTTCCCCCTTATCCAACGAGTTGGGTTAATTTTTAAAGAGACACTGTATAAAGAAAGGAAAACTTGAAGGATTTTCATATTAATTTATAAAGCGAACTTCCAAGTTATAGACCACAAGGTCACAATTAAAACGACATGTCGTTGCACTGCAATTATAACGAAAGGAAAACTTTTTTTCGTTTGAAAGAGAACTTCCAAGTTAAACGACAAGGTCATAACTAAAACCCAAACTCAGGGCTTATTACTGCGAAGCTCAAAATTTGGTCAATTGCAGAAGAAATTCGCTCTCATCAATTTGTAAGTTAATTTCATACTTGTACAATTTCAAAACCCATGTCTTTTTTCCTCCGCAGAAGCTTTTTATTTGAAATTCATATAGTAAGATGTTGACGGTGAAAATTCGTCAACTCAGAATTTATCTTTCTGGGAATACTCACGTTACGATTCTTACGAATTGATTGAAAATAAATGCATAAAATAAAGAGAACACGAGTTTATAGTGGTTCGGTAAAATATTATTACCTACACCCATTTATGGATGCACTAAATCTCAAAAGTACAGAAGATCTATCTTAGAGTCGAAAATTGTGCGTAGAAAATAAATGAGGAGTTTAACCCTTATTTATAGGTTCTCATGCACACTATATCTCTAATCTCTAAATTACATTAGGAGTATAGAGATTTTCGTAGCTTTATCTCTATAGTTAATTATTTACATATGTGGTTGTAAATGATAATCCATATATGATCTTCTATTTAAATTTAAATACAAGATGAGGGTTATCTTCTCCTGATTTGGCAGGCTTTGGATTGATCTTTGCCTTATTCGGAACTTGTCGACTTCTCTACATAGATATCTTCGTGACCCTTTTGAGACTTCTTAACTGCAATCACTCAGCTGCATAATAGTTCCTCAACCCAGGGATCTTTCCTTAATCGATACCTCTTGACAATCCTGGCTTCGGAAACTCTCGACGACTTGGTTTAGAGGAATGGTCGGAAATCTCGACCATGGTGCAACATAAGAACTTCACCACCTAATTGGAGTCTGGATCTTCTTTAAAACCCAAATGTATTTCCTCTCAGATACATCTCAACTAGTTCAGATCAACAATCTTTAAAGTCTCGTACCTAATAAACTCATTTGGGTTTTCTCCAAAAGCTGCTTTATGAGCTTCCAAGCATGTTAGTTTTATTACTACTGAGAAACCGGACAAAGTCATAGACTTGTTCAAAAAGTACGGTTTCACCCAAACCCAAATCTCGATTCTTGTTAGAATATCCCCTGTATTACTCTCATTTGATGCTAAGAAAATTATTTTACCCAAATTGGAGTTTTTGAAAGCTAAAGGCTTTTTCGGGCCCTGGAATGACCAAAAGACTCTCTGTACACCCCAGTCTTTTGAGATATGATGAGAAGGTCATTGCGCTTGTCAAATGGTTTTCAGATATTCTTCGAAATATTGAGAATTATGTGGAACCTAACATTGCTATTTTGCGATGACATGGAGTGCCTGACTCCAATATAGTTACTACTCTGATGAACTGGCCCATAGCTTTCATGTTATGTTCGGATTGGTTTAGGAAGATTGTGGAGAAAGCGAAGGAAACGGGGATCGATATTTCAAAGGATGACTTTGTTCTTGCGGTGAAGGCACTTCAGTCGATGAGCAAATGGACATGGGAAAGTAAGGTTGATGCACATAAGAAGTGGGGTTGGTTTGAAGAAGAGGTTATGAGCGCTTTTCAAAGGACTCCTTGGTGCATGACGGTATCTAAAGATAAGCTTATGGAATCTATGGATTTCTTCATCAACCAAATGGGTTGGAGTCCCTCCCTTTTGGCTAAATGTCCAACAATCATTGGACTGAGCTTGACGAAGAGAGTAGTCCCGAGGTGTTGGGTTTTTCAACTTTTGTTGTCCAAAGGTTGGGTGGAGAAGGAGGTTAGCCCTCATGCTTTGAGAATAATGTTGCAAAAGTGAGGTAAAGCGACGTTTTACGTGTCCATTCATGAGTTGTATTGCAGATTCTATCCAAAAGTTTGTTTTACTTATCTATTTTATAATCATTTTTCTTAAGAAAGATGTGAATACTTATTATGCTATTCCAAATTGCGAAGTGAATGAAAAAAGAAAGGTGCATAAGCCTTGTAAAAAGATCAGTCGTAAGTGTAATCACATTTTACATTCAGTTAAATAAAGCATTTATAGCCTTTGATATGAGTAATTCTAAATATTTTAGCAGTTCCGTTGGGAAATCTATATTTAGCTCTCCACTTAATGAGATTGCTTTCTTTATTGTGCTCTAGTGTCTTTCAAAATGAAATTTCAATTTTATGGTTCTTTTCCTTTTACCCGCCCCAAAAAAAGAAAGTATTCTTATCTATCCTTTTTATCTATTAATTTTTTAAAATGGTCATATCAGTCGTTTGTCAAAAACGAGAAGTAACTCGAAGGATTTAGCCTAGACCTAAATATATTTAGGGCCGTTCACTTCGTAGATCACATTGTGTGAATTAGGCCGAGTTATGCGTTCACTAAACGCAACCCGAGTTGGTGAGTTTCACCCATCCCTTGTTTTCCCATTACTCAAGTTTAGTTCTACAGAGCGGATTGCCTCTGTAGAAAATGACACTTCTTTGTAAATAGAGTTTAGCTTTAGTACAAGTGAACACAAAACTCAAGTTTTGAATGCTAAATCAATCTCCTACTAAACACTCAACTCAAAGTCCAAACTAAACTCAAATTTTTTACAACTCAAATCTACTTTCTTAATTCGAGTTGAGATGTGACTTTATGTGAGAGCTTTTTACTGTAGCAAAAAAGTTAGATGTGACTGTTTCTGAGAGCTTTTTACTGTAGCAAAACTCGAATCGGTGAAGTGAACGGGTCAATTTGAGTTAAGCTCTCTCCTTTTTTTTTTTTTTTTCCTCTCTCTCTCTAAAACCGTGTTACCCTTATAAGGGGAAGGAAATTTCAAAGTGAGGTATAAGTCGGGAATTTGCGAGGCTTACTCAATTATTTTGTTCTTGGCACTCTCTAGTGAGAGAGGAAAAAAAAAAGTCTTGAAAGAGATCGACTTCTTGGAAGCGTTTTCATGGTGATTAACGCGAAGAAGAGACTGCTTATCTGTGGATGTAGACAATTTTGATTGAACCACATAAACCTGTTATGTCTTGACATTTCCTCTGTTTCTTGTGTGCATCTTCTGAAATTGTGTATTTTTGCGTCTATCATTGTTCTTTAGATGTTGGATTAAAGTCTTCTGAGACAGTTTGGCATAGGTTTAACATAAATACTTTGAGGAGGTTTACTTGTTAGTTGGTAAAATTTGATTTTGGCATAACGGTTTGCTTTTCACAAGCTTTACTGTCATTTATTCTGTTTTGCAATCAAACCTACTTGTGAATCTGAACCTCATCAAAATCCACTTCATTGAAATTCCATTCAACTTGAGTGCTCGAGCATTCAATATATCAAGCAAATATGCTTCAAGAGCTAGTAATTTCAAAAACAAGATCATGCAGTAAAAGAAACCACCAGATTGATGTAGAAATCAATCACAAACAAAAGCGCTCACTCTTGGACTCAAGGAACGTCAAATGTAAATAGTTCTCAAATAGGATCACCTAACTTAACAAGGGAAATTTTTAGTGAATGATATGAGCATGTAGAACATTTCTTCTATCTCATTCTTCAATATACTTTTCACACATTCTCATCACTCTGATCCACTTGAAAGATCCAATTTTTCCCTGTACAACTTTAACAGCTTTGGTGCTTTCTTCACATAAGGCGCAATGAATTTTTGCAAAAACTTCTCCTCCGGAACTTTCAATAACGTATCAATGCTGACCTCCTCCACCAAACCTTCCGACAACAAATATTGAAAAACCGAGCACCTCAGGACTATTCTCTTCTTTAAGCTCACAGTAAAGATTACAGGGTATTCAACCATAAGGCAGGGCTTCCAACCCATTTGGTTGATGAGGAAATCCATAGATGCCATAAGCTTATCCTCAGATACCATCATGCACCAAGGACTCTTTTTAAAGGCTTTCAAAATCTCATCTTCAGACCAACCCCACTTCTTAAACGCTTTAATCTTGCTTTGCCACTTTGACTCGTCCATCATCCAAAATGCATGCAATGCTAAAACAAAGCTCACCTTCGAAGCATCAAATCCCATGTCCTCAACCTTCTCCGCAATCTTTCGGAAACTATCCCGACTCACCGAAAAAGTTCTAGGCCAGTTAAGCATCAGAGTAGCTATGTTGGAGTCAGGCACTCTATGTTCTCGCAAAATATCAATTTTAGGCGAAATTTTTTTCTCAATGTTGTAAATGAGGATGTCAGGAAATCTTTTAATAGCTCTAATGAGCTTCTCCTCAGATTGAAACAAACCCCTCATGTAATCATATGTGGGAATAATTTGTTTGTCAAAGCTACTTCCCAAGATTGCAGGGCGTGCAGATAGCATTTTGGCCATTTCAGGGACTGAAATGCCTTTGGCCTCTAAAAACTCTAATTTGGGCAAAATATTCTTCTCAGCATTATATAATAATGCGCTAGGTTTTACTCTAAAAAGCTTTGATATTTGAATTTGAGTGAAACCATACTTTCTGAACAAATTTATGAGTTTGTCTCGTTTTTCAGGGGTCTTAAAATTGGCATACCTGGAAGCATGTAAAGCAGCTTCTGGAGAAAACCCAAGCGAGTTTATGAGATATGAGACTGCAAAAGATTGTTGATTTGAACTACTTGAGAACAATCTTAGGGGGAAAAAATCTGGGTTTTGAAGAAGACCTAGAATACTGATTGGTGGTGTATTTCTTACAATACGACTTCCAAATAGAAAGGCTTTGCAGAGAAATTTAGACATGGGTTTTGAAATTTAATATGTATAAAAGAAACTTACAAATTGTGGACAGCCAATTTTTGCATAAACTGAAGAAAGCTCGAGTCTTTGTACAGGAAGTAATAAAATTCAAGATTGAGAGTTTTAAGGAGTGAGTGGACACTCGTAGGCGACATTGAAAAGGCAGTTAGTCTTGTCAACAAAACACTGTCGTTGTGAATGTTGCGTCAAAATCCAGAAACAAAACGGAACGATAGGTCATTTGTTTTATGCAGGTTTTTTTTTTTTTTTTTATTTACTTTAGGTTCCCTACGAAGAAGTTTTCTTTTTCCTCTTTTCCTCTAGAAATGTCTGGGGTTCATTTAGTTCATTGATTTGAGTTTTTAATTTGAGTTGAGATGTGAATTTATATGAGAGCTTTTTACTATAGCGAAAAAATTAGACGCGACTGTTTCTGAAAGCTTTTTACTATAGCAAAACTCGAATCGGTAAAATGAACGGTGCCGAATAAAGCACTTTGAGTCATTGAGTGAGAAATTAGTCAATGGTAACGTTTCTAAACAAGAGAACAAATTTGGACAAAAATAGAATATTAAATGTTATTTTGGAAGGGTTTTACATAAGGTTTTTTTTTTTTTTTTTTGTTGGAATGATTGAATGAATACTAATAAGTTCAATTTTAATTAAATAGAACTTGGGCTGAGAAAACTCTCTTGAGGGGGAATAAAACATAAGAGAGGAGAGATCACAAGTTACAAAAGATCATTTTGGAAAGTTTCAATGTTTCATTGTGTTCTGTGTTTTGTTCTTGCTCTTTGTGGTTAGATTAAGTTTTCTGGAATTGTGTCTTTTCTTGTTCTTTAGGTGTTGGATTAAAGTCTTCTTAGATAATTTGGCTTGAGTTTTAACAAAAGTAAATACTTTCATGGTGTTTTCTAGTCGGAAAATTGATTTTGTATGTTGTAATCAAACTCGTGCATCTGAACCTCACCAAACATTAGATTAAGTTTTCTTCTCAAAAAAAAAAAAAAAAAAAAGGGTCCAACATAACATTCTTGTTGAGCCGCGAATTTAAACATCAAATCCTCGTTTAATATTAGATCAAATAAATGAAATAACTTTTTATAACAACACCTTCAATAAAGTCCATTGTTTAAGTTTGTCTTTTTTTTCTCCCGAAAAAAGAAAACATAGGAAAGAGATAACAAATATAGGTCCTTTTGTTTAAATTGATTTACACATTATTGCAAACAGAAGCTTCACTCTTAAACCTCATAAGGGATGCAATGCGATCAACTAACTTGACAAGAGAAAATAAATCTATGATATAAGCCTGCAGAAGAAAGATTGCTTAATCTCACTCTCAAGTTTTTGCTTTATCTCACCCTGCACCATCAATTTCAAGTCTTTTTGAAAGGTCCAATTTTTCCTTGTACAACTTTAACAGCTTGGGAGCTCCCTCCTCATAAGGCGCGACAAACCTCAACAAAGTCTTGTTTAAACAAAAGAATTGAACAAAATCTCTTCTAATCAATCACCATGAGAATGCTAAGAAGCGTAAACAATTTTGAAGAACACAATCTCTTTCAGGAGTTTGTTTTGTTCTTGGTTTTTTGTCACATTTTACATTCAATTTGCCAAACCCTTCGACTCTCCATTCTGATCGGTTCTCACATCTTGCATTTTGCCCCGTCGGCGTTTTCCTTTTTTTCTGACATAATAAATAAATAAGAAAATAAAAATGATATACTAGAAAATACAGTCACTTTAAAAAGAAAAGCACAGTACAACTTATATTTCATTTTGAAAGAAAATGGACCACAATGAACAAAGCAATCTTTTTAAGTGTAGAGTTGATACAGATTTGCCCAACAGAACTGCTAAGATTTTCATGATTATTCACGAGTCATGACCAATTTGGGAGGCAAAATGTGGTTGAAATGCTTTTCAAAATTATATGTAAAAATATGACAAAATTTAGTCTCAAAAAGATACTTGAATAGTTTATAAACTGAATGCAAAGAATTGCATATTAAGTGAATGCATAGGCAAGCAGGCAAGGAAAACCTATTTCAAAGACTAGGTTGTTGGCACCACCAGATTTGATTCGCACAAGAATTGCCGATAAAAGCCCCAGTCTTGGACCTCAACTTAAGGAATTCCATTATTGAAAGGTCTACAATTAGATCAAATAAAACATTAGTTGGATAAAAACTGCAATACAGATCATGAAATGTACATGCACCTCAATTAGATGCAAATGCTTTGAGAGGCATGAAATTTCAAAAAAAAAAAAAAGAAAGAGAGAGATCATGCAATAAAAACACCAAAGAATTAATGCTACAAAACAATTGCAAAGATAAGCTCTCGAACTTGGACTTTGGGAAGGTCAAATGTAAATAGTTCTCAAACTGGATCAACTAACTTGACAAGGGAAAAATTATTTAAAAAGAAAAAAGAAAACCTTGTCAAGGGAAAAATTGTTAATGATTAGAGTATAGAACTATGCTTTTATCTCACTCTACAATATAGTTCTTACACATTCTCATCACTCTCTGATCCACTTGAAAGATCCAATTTTTCCCTGTACAACTTTAAAAGCTTTGGTGCTTTCTTCACATAAGGCGCAATGAATTTCTGCAAAAACTTCTCCTCCGGAACTTTCAATAACGTACCAATGCTGACCTCCTTCTCCACCAAACCTTCCGACAACAAATATTGAAAAACCGAGCACCTCGGGACTATTCTCTTCTTTAAGCTCACAGTGAAGATTACAGGGTATTCAGCCATTAGGCAGGGCTTCCAACCCATTTGGTTGATGAGGAAATCCATAGATGCCATAAGCTTATCTTCAGATACCATCATGCACCAAGGACTCTTTTTAAAGGCTTTCAAAATCTCATCATCAGACCAACCCCACTTCTTATACGCTTTAATCTTGCTTTGCCACTTTGACTCGTCCATCGTCCAAAATGCAACCACTGCTAAAACAAAGTTCACCTTCGAAGCATCAAATCCCATGTCCTCAACCTTCTCCGCAATCTTTCTGAAACTATCCCAACTCGCCGAAAAAGTTATAGGCCAGTTAAGCATCAGAGTAGCTATGTTGGAGTCAGGCACTCCATGTTCTCGCAAAATATCAATTTTAGGCGAAATTTTTTTCTCAATGTTGTATTTGAGGATGTCAGGATATCTTTTAATAGCTCTAATGAGCTTCTCCTCAGATTGAAACAAATCCCTCATGTAATCATATGTGGGAATAATCTGTTTGTCCAAGCTACTTCCCAAGATTGTAGGGCGTGCAGATAGCATTTTGGCCATTTCAGGGACTGAAATGCCTTTGGCTTCTAAAAACTCTAATTTGGGCAAAATATTCTTCTCAGCATCATATAATAATGCGCTAGGTTTTACTCTAAAAAGGTTTGATATTTGAATTTGAGTGAAACCATACTTTCTGAACAAATTTATGAGTTTGTCTGGTTTTTCAGCGGTCTTAAAATTGACATACCTGGAAGCATGTAAAGCAGCTTCTGGAGAAAACCCAAGTGAGTTTATGAGATATGAGGCTGCAAAAGATTGTTGATTTGAACTACTTGAGAACAATCTTAGGGGGAAAAAATCTGGGTTTTGAAGAAAACCTAGAATACTGATTGGTGGTGTATTTCTTACAATACGACTTCCAAATAGAAAGGCTTTGCGGAGAAATTCAGACATGGGTTTTGAAATTTGATATGTATAAAAGAAACTTACAAATTGTGGACGGCCAATTTTTGCATAAACTGAAGAAAGCTCGAGTCTTTGTACAGGAAGTAATAAAATTCAAGATTGAGAGTTTTAAGGAGTGAGTGGACACTCGTAGGCGACATTGAAAAGGCAGTTAGTCTTGTCAACAAAACACTCGTTGTGAATGTTGCGTCAAAATCCAGAAACAAAACGGCACGCCGTTTTGTTGCTAAAATAAAACGATAAGTCATTTGTTTTATGTAGGTTTTTTCTTTTTTTTTTCTTTATTTACTTTAGGCTGCCTATTAAAAATTTATCTTTTTCCTCTTTTCTCCTGGAAATGTTTGGGGTCCATTTAGTTCGTTAATTCGAGTTTTTAATTTGAGTTTAGATGTAATTTTATGTGAAAGTTTTTTACTATAACAAAAAAGTTAGATGTGACTGTTTCGGATAGTTTTTTTACTATTGCAAAACTCAAATTTTAAACTCAAATCGGTAAAATGAACGGGCCGAAAAAAGCGCTTTGAGTCATTGAGTGGGGGCTGGGAGTGAGAAATTAGTCAATGGTAACGTTTCTAAACAAGAGAACAAATTTTGACAAAATTAGAAAAATAGAATATTAAGTGTTATTTTGGAAGGGTTTTACATAAGGGTTTTTTTTTTTTTCGTTGGAATGATTGAATGAATACTAATAAGTTCAATTTTAATTAAATAGAACTTGGGCTGAGAAAACTCTCTTGAGGGGGAGTAAAACTTAAGAGAGGAGAGATCACAAGTTGTCGTTACAAAAGATCATTTTGGAAAGTTTCAATGTTTCATTGTGTTCTGTGTTTTGTTCTTGCTCTTTGTGGTTAGATTTAGTTTTCTGGAATTGTGTCTTTTCTTGTTCTTTAGGTGTTGGATTAAAGTCTCCTTAGATAATTTGGCTTGAGTTTTAACAAAAATAAATACTTTCATGATGTTTTCTAGTCGGAAAATTGATTTTGTACGTTGTAATCAAACTCACTTGTGCATCTGAACCTCACCAAACATCAGATTAAGTTTTCTTTTCAGAAAAAAAAAAAAAAAAAGGTCCAACATAACATTCTTGTTGAGCCAAGAATTTAGACATCAAATCCTCGTTTAATATTAGATCAAATAAATGAAATAACTTTTTATAACAACACCTTCAATAAAGTCCATTGTTTAAGTTTCTGTCTTTTTTTTCCTCCAGAAAAAGAAAACATAGGAAAGAGATAACAAATATAGGTCCTTTTGTTTAAATTGATTTACACATTATTGCAAACAGAAGCTTCACTCTTAAACCTCATAAGGGATGGTGAAGAGTGAGAAGTTTACAATGCGATCAACTAACTTGACAAGAGAAAATAAATCTATGATATAAGCCTGCAGAAGAAAGATTGCTTAATCTCACTCTCAAGTTTTTGCTTTATCTCACCCTGCACCATCAATTTCAAGTCTTTTTGAAAGGTCCAATTTTTCCTTGTACAACTTTAACAGCTTGGGAGCTCCCTCCTCATAAGGCGCGACAAACCTCAACAAAGTCTTGTTTAAACAAAAGAATTGAACAAAATCTCTTCTAATCAATCACCATGAGAATGCTAAGAAGCGTAAACAATTTCGAAGAACACAATCTCTTTCAGGAGTTTGTTTTGTTCTTGGTTTTTTGTCACATTTTACATTCAATTTGCCAAACCCTTCGACTCTCCATGATCGGTTCTCACATCTTGCATTTTGCCCCGTCAGCGTTTTCTTTTTTTTCTGACATAATAAATAAATAAGAAAATAAAAATGATATACTAGAAAATACAGTCACTTTAAAAAGAAAAGCACAGTACAACTTATATTTCATTTTGAAAGAAAATGGATCACAATGAACAAAGCAATCTTTTTAAGTGCAGAGTTGATACAGATTTGCCCAACAGAACTGCTAAGATTTTCATGGTTATTCACGAGTCATGACCAATTTGGGAGGCAAAATGTAGTCCAAATGCTTTTCAAAATTATATGTAAAAATATGACAAAATTTAGTCTCAAAAAGATACTTGAATAGTTTATAAACTGAATGCAAAGAATTGCATATTAAGTGAATGCATAGGCAAGCAGGCAAGGAAAATCGATTTCAAAGACTAGGTTGTTGACACCACCAGATTTGATTCGCACAAGAATTGCCGATAAAAGCTCCAGTCTTGGACCTCAACTTAAGGAATTCCATTATTGAAAGGTCTACAATTAGATCAAATAAAACATTAGTTGGATAAAAACTGCAATACAGATCATGAAATGGACATGCAAAAAGTTGCTGCACCTCAATTAGATGCAAATGCTTTGTGAGGCATGAAATTTCAAAAAAGAAAAAAGAAAAAAAAAAGAAAGAGAGAGATCATGCAATAAAAACACCATTAAATTAATGCTACAAAACAATTGCAAAGATAAGCTCTCGAACTTGGACTTTGGGAAGGTCAAATGTAAATAGTTCTCAAACTGGATCAACTAACTTGACAAGGGAAAAATTATTTAAAAAGAAAAAAGAAAACCTTGTCAAGGGAAAAATTGTTAATGATTAGAGTATAGAACTATGCTTTTATCTCACTCTACAATATAGTTCTTACACATTCTCATCACTCTCTGATCCACTTGAAAGATCCAATTTTTCCCTGTACAACTTTAAAAGCTTTGGTGCTTTCTTCACATAAGGCGCAATGAATTTCTGCAAAAACTTCTCCTCCGGAACTTTCAATAACGTACCAATGCTGACCTCCTTCTCCACCAAACCTTCCGACAACAAATATTGAAAAACCGAGCACCTCGGGACTATTCTCTTCTTTAAGCTCACAGTAAAGATTACAGGGTATTCAGCCATAAGGCAGGGCTTCCAACCCATTTGGTTGATGAGGAAATCCATAGATGCCATAAGCTTATCTTCAGATACCATCATGCACCAAGGACTCTTTTTAAAGGCTTTCAAAATCTCATCTTCAGACCAACCCCACTTCTTATACGCTTTAATCTTGCTTTGCCACTTTGACTCGTCCATCGTCCAAAATGCAACCACTGCTAAAACAAACTTCACCTTCGAAGCATCAAACCCCATATCCTCAACTTTCTGCGCAGTCTTTCGGAAACTATCCCGACTCACCATAAAAGTTTTAGACCAGTTAAGCATCAGAGTAGCTATGTTGGAGTCAGGCACTCCATGTTCTCGCAAAATATCAATTTTAGGCGAAAAATTTTTCTCAATGTTGTATCTGAGGATGTCAGGACATCTTTTAATAGCTCTAATGAGCTTCTCCTCAGATTGAAACAAACCCCTCATGTAATCATAAGAGGGCAGTATCTGATTATGTAAGCTTCTTGCCAAGACAGTAGGAAATAAAGACACCATTTTAGCTATTTCAGGGCCTGAAATGCCTTTGGATTCAAAAAATTCTAATTTCGGCAAAATGTTTTCATGGGTATTATATGAAAACACTCTCGGAAAAGCTCTTACCAGACATGATATTTGGGTCATAGTGAAGCCACGATCCTCGAAAAACTTTATGACTTTGTCAGGTTTCTCAGGAGAGTCAAACTTAACATACTTGGAAACTGATAAAGCAGCTTGTGAAGATAACCCAAGTGAGTTTTTGAGGTAAGACACCGTAAAAGATTGCTGATTCGAACTGCTTGAGATCCATCTGAGAACAATACCATTTGGGTCTCCCAGAAAACCCAGATGACTGATTTTTGGTGAAGTTCTTACAGTACGACACCCATAAAGAATCGTTTTGAGGAGAAATTGAGACATGGATCGATAATGAACCTAGCCGATTCTCTCTGCGTAAACTGTAACAGAACAAATCTCAAGTTTCCGCGAATAAGAGAGAGAACCCCAAAAGAACTTTGTCCTGGCAGTAGAAACGACATATTATTGCAATGTAGGTGTTTTGACTTGGCTATTCACGGCATGTCGTTTGTAATTGATGTTTAAACGACTTGACGTTTCTCGTAACACAATAAAACATTTGACTTCTTTTTTTCTTACTTATGATAAACTTGTGTAAATTTTTTTTTCTTTTTCCTTTTTGGCATATTCCCTTTTGTCTTGAATGATGAACTATACATCGTTTTTTTTTTAAAAAAAAACTTATCGAACCTACAGAGCTTAGAAAAAATGACATATCGCTTGGTATATGAATTTTTTAGGAGAACATTTCAAAAAAAAAAAAAAAAAACAGAGAATTATTTAGGAGAAACTTAAAAAAAATGCCGCAGAAACAACTTATGATTCACTTTTACTATTACTTTCGTTTAGTTGCACGTTTCGCCAAAAAAAAAAAAAAAAAAAAAAAAAAAAAAAAAAAACCTTTAAAAAAAACAGGAACGATTGAGACTTTATTCTTTTCACAATAATTTTTTTTTGTTACACTCTTTTCTTTTATAAAAATTTAAATTTAACTTTTTTGTTACAATACTTTTTCTGACTCATCATCATCAGATTACAGCTCTTTCTACAACGGGTTCCCTTAGCTAGAAAAGAAGCGCCTAGCTGTCCTCTTTGTACAAAAGTCATAAGATCTTATCCGAAGATCTTATCTTGTAAAAAGTTTTTTGTTTTTGTGTGCTTAGTCAAAAGTTTAATAGTATATTTATCACTTTGTCAAAAGTGATTCTGTCTTTTATATAATTAGTCAAAAGCGGAACAGTGAGTGATTCGCTTTGTCAAAAGTCATTCTGTCTTTTGTAAAATAAATCTAAAGTTATACAATGTAAATCTTATCTTGTCAAAAGTTTGAGTTGTAATTTAAGTTATGAAAAAGCCCTGAAGTTGCTAGTTATAATAGGGCATGAATTTAACTATTATATTTATTGTTTATTAGAAAAATATTTTTATAAGGTAGATAAATAAGTTCTAAATAATCAATAAAACCAAACACTACAATCTATTTGAAAAAAAAGATAGTTCCATGGATTTTAAGTTTGCCAGGGGCATTTGAAAGTATCAGGTACTTCTCTTTATTTTATTGTCTACAATAAATAGCCCTTGCTAACGATGAGAAACTGCTGTAATGGATCTTGATATTGGCTCCGTGTATTTGGTTTGAGTAAGGCTGCAACTAGCGGGAACAAATTTAACCTAGTTGTAATTAATAATGTATTCACCAGGTCTAAATTCGAATATCTCAACTTGAAGATTCTACAACAATTTTGGGATTACATAATCCATATGTAACGATGATTTTAAGAGAAAAAGTAGTCTAATGCGTCGTTTTTCGACCCTATCCGAGGGCACCGTGCATGCATTTAACGATGACACTGTCACCAAATGTGGACACATTTAACGACGAAACTGTCACCAAATGTGGACGCAGACGATAGGGTCGGATTTAAAAGCATCGTTCGATAGGGTCGGATTTAAAAGCATCGTTAAATATTTCGACTACGGTTTCTAGCAACATCGATGCCGCCATTGAATCTTAAGAATTGTATGTTTTGGCGTAGGAGATTAGTGCTTGCAAATAGATATTAGTCACACTCACATATGCAACTTTATAGTTAGTTTGCAAATAGGTTATAATTGGGTTGATGCTGAAACTCACCACCAATGAAAAGGGCAACAAATAGTATATTAGCATGTCATGTTGTCATTAAATCTTTTACTAGTTCAACAAATTAAAAGAAAAAAAAAATCTTTTATTTATTTATTGGGCAAAGATCACTTAAAAAGTACAAAGAGGTTAAGTTCTCCTAAATGAAGGAAAAGGATGCTTGCATAGTTTATAAAATGATTGAATAGACCTATACTAAGATCATGCATGATTTGCATATAAATTGCAAACAAAAAGCTCAAAATCTCGGACCAAAATTCAATTTGAGCTCAAAATCTCAAAAAGCTTGTAGACAATTACTTGATCTCACTCTCTGCAATGCACTTTATGATACCTTATCAAACTCTGGTCTTCTCTGAAAATTCCTGGTTTCCCGCGGTGCAATTTAAACAGGGATTTTGGTGGAAGAGCTCATACTCCACTAATAGCTTTTGCATTGTGCGGTGAAAACTGAAAAGTGGCTGGATTTATAAAAAAGGCCAGAACAACTGAGACAACAGAGATTTGAAAAGAAAAAACAGGACTTAGCTTTCACATTGTGAGTAAAGTGAAATCAAATCTTATACCGAGAGATTGTGTAGCTAAAATCTTTATTCATTTTCTTGAACTAAGATTACTCGGTAAGTGAAGACCAATCCAACTGTTAGTCAAGGAGAAAGTTTACAAAATGAATGAAAAGATCTTAACGTTATACGTCCCAAAGTTCTCAAACCTCATAGATCTTTGCTGCATTTGAAAGATCATATTTTTCCTTATACAACTTTAACAGTTCCGGAGCGTTTTCCTTATAAGGCGCGACAAACCTCTGCAAGAAATTCTTCTCTGAACTCATCAATAATGAATTCAAGTTAGCATCCTTCTTCACCAAACCTTTTGACAACAAAACTTGAAAAACCGAACACCTCGGGACTACTCTCTTATTTAAACTCACTGTAAAGATTGTAGGGAATTTAGCCAAATGGAAGGGCCTCCAACCCATTTGGTTGATGAAGATATCCATAGATGCCATAAGCTTATCTTCAGACACCATCATGCACCAAGGATAGCTTTGAAAGGCTTTCGAAACCTCTTCCTCAGACCAACCCCACTTCTTATATGCGTCAACCTTACTTTCCCATGTTGATTTTCGCATCGACAAGAATATATTCACCGCTACAACAAATTTGAGCGTTGAAGCATCAAATCCCATTTCCACGACTTTCTCCACAACCTCTCGGAAACTATCCGGACTCGTCACGAAACTTTTAGGCCAGAGATGCATCATTTTTGCTATATCAGATTTAGCCACTCCATGTTCTCTCAAGATAGCGACGTTAGGTGCGACATACTTCTTAAGACATATGAGGATATGCGGAAACCGTTTGACAGTATGACAAGCCTTCTCATCAGACTGAAACAGGTCTCTATAGAAATCATACGAAGGAATAATCAGATTAGATAAGCTACATCTCAAAAGGGTAGGGAATACAGATAGCCTTTTGGCCATTTCAGGGCCTGACATGCCTTTGGCTTGTAAAAACTCCAATTTGGGCAAAATATTCTTCTCAGCATCATATGAGAATATACTAGGGCATCTTCTAACAAGGTTCGATAATTGGATTTGAGTGAAACCGTACTTTTTGAACAAATTTATGAGTTTGTCTGGCTTCTCAGGAGTCTTAAAATTAACATACTTGGAAGCTGATAAAGCAGTTTCTGGAGAAAACCCAAGTGAGTTTATGAGGTATGAGACTGTAAAAGATTGTTGATTTGAACTACTTGAGAACAATCTTAGATGAAAAATATCTGGGTTTCGAAAAAAACCTAGAATACTGGTTGGTGGTGAAGTTCTTACAATATGACATCGAAATAGAAAGGTTTTGCAGAGAAATTTAGACATGGGTTTTGAAATTTAAGTATAACAGAAACTTACAAATTGTGGACAATGGATTCTTGCGGAAATTGAAGAAAGCTCGATTCTTTGCAACAGAAGTAAAGCCCTAAAGTTGAGCTTTAATGGAGTAAGTGACACTCGTAAGCGACATTGTTAGTCTTCAGTCTCTTGACAACAAAACACGTCGTCGTGAATGCTGAGTTAAAATCCTAAAGTAAAACGGCACGCCGTTTTGTTGTTAGCAGCAAACGAAAAGTCTTTTTTTTTTTTTTTTTTTTTTAAGGCTGCCCCCTTCTTCTTTTTTTTAATGTTGAAATTCCCTTCATTTTTTAGAAGTGTCAATTTGGGTCGTAATACGATAATACAATTTGAATTTGCGTAGAATCATCAGCGAATTTGAATTTATTATAAATAAATTTGAGTCATAATTAAATTCACTTGATTAATAAATGTATTAGATTTGAGTTGATTTTTTAACACAAATTGACACAATTAAATATATGTGTTATTTATAAATTAACTACATATTATATGATATATTGAATACAAATAAATGAAGTTTAAAGTTCTTAGATAAATTTTACTTATTTTTTTTTTAAAAGAAAAGATAAATCGATTAAAGCTCACTAAATATCGGATTGAGTTTTCTTCTCAAAAGAAGAAAAAAGGTCTTCTATGGATAGATCACAAAAGTTTGTCGTATTATGATAGAAAAAAGGTCTTCTCAAAAGTTTGTCTTATATTTACCAAAATCATTTAGAAATTTATCCATTGGAGAAGTTTCTATGGATTGAAATGTACATGTTCTTTCTTACGATTCTTTTATTACACTACATACCTTTTGTGGTTCTTTCTTAGCATTCATTTATAAAATTATGCTATGCTTCATGCCTTTAGTGATAAAATATGTCAGGATTCCGAAAGAAGTTAATGAAAAAGATTAGAACTAAGATTTAAGACCATTTACAATATCTATGCAATTACAAAGAAAGAATAAGCACGTGCGAAGCACACGACGTTCAACTAGTTTTACCTAAAAGTAATAAAAACGTTCATGATATTTCCATTTAGGAAAAAGAAGTCTGGTTTTACAGTTTCACAATCAACCAATGGTCATAAAAATAAAAAATAAAAATAAAAAAAAAATAAAAAACTCTAGCATTGAACATCTGTTGAATTTTATAATGCCTTGCAATACAAGACATCATAACACACCAATCACAAACAGCCTTAGTTTTGAGGATTAAAATTCAGGGACAAGGTGAAAAGGTAACAAAAATTTGAGGGATCTTTTCAAAATTTGTATTATCCTCATCTCGCAAGAAACGACATGACTGATTTAAAAAGATAATAAACAAAGAGCAAAATTAAACAATAGTATACAGTTGAAAAGAGATGTTAGACATTGATTAACAAGAAAATGAAAAACCAAAGTAAAATAAGCCTCTTTATGATCACCCCAGGCGATAGTATCATCTTCCAAATGTTGTAAATATAAGAGTTTAAACAAAATATCATAAAGCAATTCATTGATTAAAAAAAATGTGACATAGATTGTTAACACACCATCCCATATAACAACACACTCTTCCTCACAGCCCCAAAAAAGTCTGCAATTTCTCTCGAATCAAACCCTCAAAAAGTCGCTTAAACAACAATCTTGCCTGAGTATGTTGACTTAAGAAATAGAGTCTCCGTTTATTCCACCGATTTGAGTTTAAAATTAGAGTTTTATTATAGTAAAAAACTCTCAGAAACAATCATATCTAACTTTTTTACTACAGTAGAAAACTCTCACATAAAATCATATTTCAACTCGAATTAAAAACTCAAATAAGCGAACTAAACGGGCCAAAATTTTTTACTTCAAGATATTTCTCTGTTGACAAGAGTTCTTCTCGACGTTCCTCAGCAAGCTTTTCACTCGCAGGAGCATCACAGTATTTATGTTGCTTCGCTCTCAAGTTAGATGCAATGTGTTCGTTAATTTTCATGATGGGATCATATTCTTCCATGCTTCATGTTGGGTTCCTGCATTAACAGAGAAAAAGAGGCTAACGAAAAAGCACAATCATTGAGAAAGTGGAAGAACTTCACAAATCACAACGTAGCAAGTGTTGAATTTAAACTTTTAGTTTCAATATGGTTGGAAGTCCCACATCGACTGAGGATCGGTTGTAATTGGTCTCTTGACTTTTTATAAATAGAGTTTTAAATGATTTCAATTTTCAGAATGAAAGAATGACCAAAATCCCTAAAAATACTCACCTTCCGTTTTGCTTTTCACAACATAAATGCTAGAGAAATGTCTCTTTGTAACAAAGCCTAATTTGCGCCTAGAATATGTTTGGTTGTATATGTTTGGAAGTAAATTTTTGGAAGAATTAACAATATTAACAAAAGCCATAATGATCATCACGAGACAAGTGCATCCTATTTGGAATTGGCTCAAAGGAGGCTCGCCTCGCCTACGTAGATATTATGAGAATAAGAAGACCCTATGAAAACAAAGAGACCTCCGTTGACAAATTTGATGAATTTGGGCAAAATCTAAATCTCATTAATTTGTTAATTACAATGCCTAGTAATCGAAAGGTGTTTTCAAATAAATTTTTACTTATATACATTAAGGTAGTTACAAAATTACAATGTAGATTGGTGTGTAGTATTTTAATAATGTATTTCCTAATTATTTCTGACAGATGACTCCTAAAGAGGCTTTTAAGGACTTTAGCCACAGGTTTCATGGAATCCGACCCAGTAAAAAGAAATAAGAAAAGCGATTGAAGCAATATCAACGGGAGTTGAAGATGAAGAGCAATCTCATCTACTGTGGAGCTGATGGAAAAATAATAACTTGGATTTCATGTTCTTGTTCTTCATGTTTTTTAAATGTGGACGTATAGGATTGTAAATGAATATTAAACTACAAGGTCTTGATCCCTATGTAGGCAGCTCATCCCTTATAAATGAGTCCAGCCCCTTTTTATTACAAATTTTATTTTTTTATTTTTTTTTATTTTTTTATTTTTGTAAAAACATTGTGTTTTGTTACCATAACAAACAAAATGTGAAGAGGTCGAAGTAAAACGCTGTGGGAATTGGAAAAGGAGAATTTGAGTCATCTCTTTCTAAATGACATGTTGCTTTTTTGTTTTTTATTGAACGACAAGTCGCTTTTACACAAATCGAAAGCAAATGGTTGCTGGCGTTGTTTGCATCACTACACGTACTTCTTATTTAAGAATCGACGGCTGCTTTTAAAACTCATTTTTAAATAATTTTATTTTTTATATAAAAATAAAAATAAAAATAAAAATAAAAATTATTTTTAAAAATGTATTTAATAATTTTATTACAATATTATTTTTAGTATAAATTTTTTTTAATATCTCTTTCTGCTTGAAAAAAGAAAAAACAGAAATAAAAATAAAGATTACATTTAAAATTAATTTTAAAATAATTTTATTTTTTATATGAAATTAAAAATGAAAACGTTTTTAATTTAAGAAAGAAATTATTTTTAAAAATACGTTTAATAATTTTATTAAAAGATTATTTTTAATATAAAAAAAATTAAAACTCTATTTAGTTATATATTTTTAAAAATATCTAATAGTACTTTAGTTATAATAATAACTAAGATCTTATTTACTATATTTTCTTATAACAAATATAATGGAGAGGACATTTTAATAATTTTATAATAGTTCTAAATCTGATTTTAAGACCTAAACATGGAGGCACATCCCATTATGTTCAGATCATGACCCACCCCTATCGATGGGTGGCTGGGGGTCTACACAGGTGACTCCGAATCGGACTATCACGATTCCGGTCGCGAAGGAGGCGGTCAAGAATTGAAGACTGCAGATCGGAGGAAGATCAGAGGAGGCGGTCCAGATCGGAGGAAGCTCGTCGGAAGAGAAGAAGAAGATTGTGCATTGGTGGAGGAGGAGGAAATCGTGCGGCGGAGGAGGAAATCATGGGCGGAGATGGGTTCCGAGCTTTTTGTCGTCATCGTGGGTCAGCCGGAGGTTCTCGTCGCCGTTGGTGGTTCTCATCGTCGTCGGTGGGCTCTTGAGCTTTTCATCCTCGTGGGCCCGCAGGAATTCACCGCCACAAGGACGGGAACCGTACGACGCGACGGCGACAAATTCACCGGAGAGAGAGACGACGGGGCTGTAGTTGGTGGATCCTTGAGGCGTTAGCCTGGTGATGACGATTTCAAAAATAAAAACAAAAACAACTCCAAACACAAATTTCTTCAAATTAGAGAGAGAATCCGCTCTCCACAATCTGTAAATTCCTTTCATAGATCTACATTTTCAAAAACCCATGTCTCAATTTCTCATAAAAACGATTCTTAATGGATGTCGTACTGTAAGAATTTCACCGACAAGAACCAGTAATCTGGGTTTTCTGCCAGACCCCAATGTTCTTCTTCTCAGATGGATGTCAAGCACTTCGAATCAACAATCTTTTACGTGTTAATTTTGATACTCCTGATAATCCAGACAAAGTTATTAACGGTTTCAAAGGTTACGGTTTCACTCATACCCAAATATCATCACTCGTTAGAATATTCCCTGCGCACTCACATCGAAAACTGAGAAAACTGTTTTGCCGAAGTTGGAGTTTTTGAAATCCAAAGGCCTTTCTGGAACTGAAATGGCCAAAATGCAATCTTCATACCCTACCCTTTTTGAAATCTAGCCTAACTAAGAAGATTATACCCGCATATGATTTCTTTAGGGGTTTTCTTCATTCTGATGAGAAAGCCATTGCAGCTGTCAGAAGGTACCCAGACATTCTTACAAGAAATGTTGAGAAAAATGTTGTACCTAACAGCAATATTTTGCGAGAGTATTGAGTGCCGGACTTCAATACAGCCGCATGGTTCCATTACCAGCCTAAAGCCTTCGTAGTAAGTTCAGATAATCTAAGGAAGATTGTGGAGAAAGCGAAGGAAATGGGATTTGATGCTTCGCAGTTCAAGTTTGTCGCCGCGGTGTTTTCATTTCGGGCAATGAGCAGATCAAAGTGGGAAAGTAGGGTCAGCGCATATGAGAAGTGGGGTTGGTCTGAAGAAGATGTTTTGAACGCCTTTCAAAGACATCCTTGGTGTATGTTGATATCTGAAGAGAAGATTAACTCGGGCATGGAGCCCTTGTATTATTGCCAAGCGCCCAGTACTCCTTTCATTGAGCTTGAAGAAGAGACTAATACCAAGGTTTTCGGTTTTTCAAGTTTTACTCTCAAAAGGTTTGGTGAAGAAGGAGGTTGGCTTAAGTGCATTGCTGGAAACTCCAGAAAATAAGTTCCTGCGAATGTTTGTCACCCCTTATGAGGAGGAAGCTCCGGAGCTCTTGAAGTTATACAAGGAAAAATTAAATCTTTCAAATGGACCACGGGTTGATAACTGATAAGGTATGACAAATAAGTTGCGAATTTTGAGAGGTAAAGAAGCTTTTGACAATGTCCTTAATACCAGCTGCATTGCCGTTTATGTGGAAGACAGAGGAGTATTGTATGTAACTGCAGAAAAGTATTGAATGATTATTCTATATTGTAAAGTTATGAGAGCTTTTGACATGCTCATATTTATGAGCTTGATTGCCGTTTACCGTTTAAAGTGCAGATCAACAACTTTCAGCTGCTCTGGTTAAGTACTTTTCAGCTTTGAACTTCCTTGCGTTGATGTCCAAGGCCGGAGCTTTTGATCGCAATTAATGTTAAAATCGATCTCTTAGTCTTAGGAATACAGAAAGAAGAATGTTTGTAATGGAGAGGTAGAAATGTTGAACGAATAATTCTATCAAATGGTATTGTCCTTTAGCTTGATTTTGTGGCAATCGATTTTTATTTTTAATCTGCCCGCCAAAACTCAAATTCAGTTCGGCTAACTTGAGTTTAATCCACGAAACGAACGCACCCGAAAACTTTTCAGCGTTGTACTTACCTTTGCCTTGAGATTCAAGGCTGGAGCTCTTCTTTTGAATACTATGCAAAATGGTAGTTTCAGAAACAGGGCGAAAAAACCATAAAATATCATGAACACAAAAAAAAAAAAAAAAAAAAAAAAAAAAAAAAAAAAAAACTAGGACAAATCATGTACTTTTCCTCCAACAATTTACAATACTTGGATATGTCAACGAAGAGCTCATCTCACAAATACGACATCAACACAGACCTTTGTTGTCAATGTAAGTAATCTGTTTCTTGCGAAAGGCAAGGTGCATAATAAACGACACGTCCTTCAGTCCTTCAGTGATGCAAACAGTGTCATTAGTTAATTTTCATTTGTGTAAAAGTGACTTGTCGTTTACTTAAAAGAAGAAACGACATGTCATTTAAACTTACAATAAATAAAAAGAATGAAAAATGAACATAACAAAAAAAGGGTTGTATTGTATTAACGGATACGGCGTATCGTTTAGGCCGGACATGCAAACGACATGTTGTCAAGAGCCAAGCAAAATGACTATTGACTGCATTGCAATATGAAGTACGAGACAATTATTTAAAAAAAAAAAAAAAATTGTAGTACGAGACCAAAGAGTCACAGTCACCTGTTAAACCCTAATTTTTGGTACTCCTCTTGTATCCTTCCTTGTTCGTCTCCAAAACTCAAGATTTCTTTGGAAAAAAAAAATCATCTCCCTTTTTTTTTTTTCTCTGTTTTCCTTTCCCGTAGGGGTTTCGGTATTTATAGATTTTCATTTTTTCTTTCAAAACTTATCCCTAGAATTCTTTTTCACGTCAACTCCTTTTCTTAATATGAAATTCTTTTCATTCTTCAGCGCAATTAGAATCTCCCACATAACTTTAATTCTCTTCTTTTATTAAGCGTTGTCATTCTTGGTAAATCTAAACGACATCATTTTTTCGTCTAAATTCAATTCTCATCCCCACAGTAAGAGAATAAAAATTTATGTCATCTTTTCATGATTTACCGAAGGATCATGTTATACATGTAATTGAGGCCTTGATTTCTAATGTTTATTATTAGAAAGGTACAGTACTTTTTTTGTTTCTCCAAAGTCACTATTATTTATCATTTTATTCAACAATTCCTCTTGATAAGATCCATGCTATGGTAATTCTCAAGTGGTTGGAGCTAATCCATAACACACTACAACATTCTTATTCTTTAATATCACAAATTAATGACGAAAAATAACTTTGAAAACCACAAAACTGTCTCTTACAAGAAAGACAACATTTAAGGAAAGATAATAATTTCGATAAGCATAGCTAGACTGACATCTTGTAGAAATAACATGCATTTAGAACCTATAGCAAAAGGAAATCTTTAAGAGTGACAATGTGACACGAAACCAGAAAATTATTTTTAAGATGTATTTATCATATTTCTATACAAAAACTAAAAGATTAAGAAAGAATCTCATCCCAAAATAATATGGTAATAATCTTGTTTAAACAGTAAATCCTGAGAAGTCGTATGCTTCGTTCTATAATCACAAGCCTTCCAGCGTTTTTTTTTTTTTTTTTGTTTAGCAAAACATGAAATGTATTATATCATAGTCCCACATGGGAGAGAAGAAAAGGTTTCTATACAAAGATGTTTATAAATTATTTCACTCTCTATTTAGCTTTTCATTAATGAAAAGAATAGTAATTACAAATGTCATTTTTAAAATAAAAATCATCAAAATAGGAAGAAAAAAATCAGTGACTACTTCGTTGGAAATGTAAATGGGTAGTCTATCGGTGGGTGTTGGTACATTTTTCATATTGTAGTTAGAACTTCACAAATGGGATGTATGTGTAAATCAATGATTGGACTAATTTTATCGTCATGCATGACAGACATACGGTGATTCAACTTCACGATGTTTTTAGCATGGTTGATGTGGTTGCTAGTTCGGGGAGGGGTGACAGGCGCCTCTTCCTCCTAATGCCGGGATGGCGCGATTACCGGCAAAGTAGGGGGCTTCAGGTGGGTTCGGTGCTGGCGATTCACACTATACAGCAAATCTATGAATTCTTCGTTGGCATTGAACATCAAGGAAATGAACATCAATGAATTCTTCGTTGCCAGAAACATGTCACTCACATGATATGATCATCCAAAAAGTTTGTTTGCATGCTTATGCTTGTTAGAACTATCTTGCCTATGTACATTTTTTGAATGGTTAAATGACAACTCAGAGTTTGTTGAGAAATTGTGCAATATGGTATCATATTTCTTTTCATTATTAGAAACTGATGGCAGAAAGTGTCACACAATTTAAGTAACATTTTTTCTTTTCTTCACTCAGTCAAAATGAAAATTTACAAAGTACAAAGTTTCATAGAGTGGAATAATTCCTCTAATTAAGTTGGGAGTGAAAGTTCTCAAATTAATTTGGTGTTGAAAGTTCTAAACTTTTTCAAGGTTCTTTTAAAATCCAAAATAGCTGGCCAATATTCATTTTGAGGAGTTAGATTTTAGAACTTGCATGCAAGTTTTTGATGGAAAAGATATTTGAAAAGAGAGAGATGACGGATAAAATTGAAAACGACGGCAAATTCAATTACAGAGAGAATTGGCTCTCAACAATCTTTAAATTCCTTTCATGGGTCTACAATTTTAAAAACCCATGTCTCAATTTCTCTTGAAAACGATTCTTTCTGGATGTCGTGCTGTAAGAACTTCATCACCAACCAGTAATCAGGGTTCTCTGCGAGACCCAAATGTTGTTCTTCTCAGATGGATGTCAAGCAGTTCGAATCAACAATCTTTTACGGTCTCTTACCTAGTAAGTTCACTTGGGTATTCTTCACAAACTGCTTTGTCTGTTTCCAAGTATGTTAATTTCGATACTCCTGATAAGGCAGACAAAGTCATAAAGTCTTTCAAGGATTATGGATTCACTGACACCCAAATATCACGTCTGGTAAGAACTTATCCCACGGTGCTCCTATTTAATGCTGAGAGAAAAATTTTGCCAACATTACAATTTTTTGAATCCAAAGGCATTTCCGGCCCTGAAATAGCTAAAATGGTAACTGCATTCCCTACTGTTTTGGGAAGTAGCTTAGCTAATCGGATATTGCCCTCATATGATTACATGAGAAATCTGATTCAATCTGATGATAAGCCCATTATAGCTGTTAAAAATTATCCTGATGTTCTTGTACACAACGTTGAGAAATATGTGTCGCCTAACGTTGATATTTTGCGTGAACATGGAGCTTCCGAATCTAATATAGCTACAATAATGCGGCATTGGCCTAGATCTTTCATTGTGACTCCTTATTCCTTCCGAAAGGTTGTGGAGAAAGTGGTGGAAATGGGGTTTGATGCTTCAAAGGTAAACTTTGTTATCGCAGTGAAAGTAAGTAGGTCATTAAGTGAATCAACATGGGAAAGGAAGGTTGATGCTTATAAGAAATGGGGTTGGTCTGATGAAGATGTTTTGAATGCCTTCAAGAGAAATCCATTGGTGCATGTTGCTATCTGAAGATAAGATTAACGCGGGTATGGATTTATTTATCAACAAAATGGGTTCGAGCCCTTGTATTATTGCCAAGCGCCCGGTAATCCTTTCATTGAGCTTGAACAAGAGACTAATACCAAGGTTTTCAGTTTTTCAAGTTTTACTCTCAAAAGGTTTGGTGAAGAAGGAGGTTAGCTTATGTGCATTGCTGGAAACTCCAGAAAAGAAGTTCCTGCAAACGATTGTCATGCCTTATAAGGAGGAAGCTCCGGAGCTCTTGAAGTTATATGAGGAAAAAGTAAATCTTTCAAATGGACCACTTGTCGATAAGGTATGAGAAATATGTTGCAAACTGTGAGGGGTAATGAAATTTTTGACGCTGACCAGAGTACGAGCTGCATTGAAGTTTATGTGGAAAATCAAGTTTCATTTAATCTCATTGAAAACTTCAAGCTTTTAACTCCCCGTTGAGAGAGAGAGAGAGAGAGACTGAGAGAGAGTATTATACGTAACTGTAGAAATGTTGAGTGAACAGTTGTATTGAATGATTAGTCTACATATTTTTTAAGGTTTATTAAGGTGTGCCAACTTTTGACATGCTCATATTATGTGCTTGATTGCTGTTTTAACTGCAGGTCAAGTTTTAGTTGACAACTTTTCAGCTCCGAAATTTATTAAGTGTCCTTGGTGACGCTATCTGAAGATAAGCTTATGGCATCTATGGATTTCTTCATCAACTAAATGGGTTGGAGGCCTTGCCTTATTGCTGAAAGGCCGGTAGTCCTTACACTGAGCTTGAAAAGCAGAATGGTCCCGAGGTGTTTGGTTTTGCAAATTTTGTTGTCAAAATGTTTGGTGGAGAGGGAGCCTAGCTCGAATACATTATTGTTAGGTCCAGAAATGAAGTTCCGCAGAGGTTTGTTGCGCTGTTTAAGGTGGAAATTCCCAAGTTGTTGAAGTTGTACAAGGATTAAATGGATCTATGAAAACGACTATAGAGCTTGATGGTTGGTGTAAGGTCCGAGAACTAAACGGCAGATTAGTTTTCAGGTTTATATCATTGGTTAATTTTTCCCTTATCAAGTAAGTTGATCTAACTGAGAACTTTTCTCTGCTCACTTCCCTTGTGTTGCAACTCAAGAGCAGCGTTTCTGTTTGCAATTTATGTGTAAATCAATCTGTAGTCTTTCCTACTGCATGATCTTGCTTTGAAATGCAAGCCTGTTGAGGCATTTTCCAAATATGTATTTACATATATGTCGGTCCCGTTTATTTTACTGATTCGAGTTTAAAATTTGAATTTTACTACAATAAAAAGTTTTCAGAAACAATCACATCTAACTTTTTTACTACAGTAAAAAACTCTCACATAAAATTACATCTCAACTCAAATTAAAGACTCGAATCAATAAACTAAACGGGCTCATAATGTACTCAAGCACTCAGTTGAGAAAGTAAGAAGTGTTAAGAGCCTAATACTCAACAGTGAAAAGGACCTATATATATATTTGTATCCCTTTCTTTCATTTTTTTTTTATTTTTCTATCATTAAAAAAGAGAGAAATATAAATATTGACTTTATTGTTGGTGTTCTTCAATGTCGTCTTTTTATTGCACCTTGATGAAAATGCAATTATCCAAAGAGCCAAAAGTTATATAGCTTCATGTTCATGACCTTTAACTTGATTATATTGGCAATTGGGTTACATTATACATATATTAAAGGAAAGTACGAGATTTATTGTTCATGCTACAATATAATGAACAGTATCTTTTTATTTTAGTCTTATTTTTTTCTTTTGATGAATTTTTTATTCTCGTTATGTCCTTTTGAATGTATATTTACCGTTTTGCCGTTTGTTTACTACACATGTTTTCAGCTGGCATTTTCATCTATTTCTTATGGAAATTCTTTTAAAATAAAATTTACGTGCTGAGGGACAAGTGAGACACGTGGTGTGAATGTGTTGTTTGTGAAGTTGGTTTTCTAATGAACGTGGGGTTCACTTATTTGTTTTCACGTGCATTGTAGTACTTAGGAAAAAAAAAAATTTCCCTGTTCATTGTGGAGGCCAGCTGTGATCCAGAGAGAGAGAGCAGAGAAAAAAAACCCTGACATTTACGTCTATTTGTAGCGGAATTTTTTTTTTAAATTTTTTTCTCCTTTACAAATAGGGTTAATACAAGATTGTATTATGTTACTTCTCTTATTCTTTTCTATGTTTTATCCTCTTTTTTCTTCTGAAAGCTATTGCTTTATGTGCTCTCTCTTATATTATTTTCCTCTCTTTTTCTCCATCTTATGTGCATAAATATGGATTTTTTTTATAATTTTCTTCTTCTTTCTTTTGCTCTTAAGCGTTGCGAGCCTATTTATTTTTTCACTGAGTCTTCTGTTTGTTTCTTTTTTTTTTCTTTTAGGTTTTTTTGGGTGCTGCTGGTTTGTTCTCTTACCCTTTCATGTTTGTTTACCACGCATGTTCTTCGCTGGTATTCACGTCTATTTGTAGCGGAATTTTTTTTAAAAGAAATATTTCCTTTATAGATAGGGTTAGATCTGAATTAAGAAGAGGCTGTATTCTGTTGCTTCTCTTATTCGTTTCTATTGCCTAAAGTTTATCCTCTTTCTTTAGAAAGCTCTTGCTTTATGTGTTCCCTCTTTCATTCTTTACTCATTTAGTTTCTATTTTATTCTGTAATGATATTATTTATTTTTGGATATGCTATTTCGTTCTCTATTCGCTGATTTTTTTTCCTTCTCTGAATATTTGAGTTTTTTTCTTCTTTGACTTCATTTTTAAAAAATATTACGTATTTAATTTTGAGTTAATTTTTTTATTATTTATATACATTTATTTTTTTCATTTTCTAATTTTTTCCATGATTTAAGTTTTCTTTTTCTAAAATATTTTATTTTAAGAGGGCTTCTTTTCTTTGGGGTTTCCTTTAATCTTTTTTTAAGAATTTTCCTTCCTACATTTTTTTTCTATTTTCTGTAAAAATGTTTCCCTCATTTTTTATTTCTGATTTCTTATTATTTTTTTTGTTGGATATGTTATCTTCAGTTTTCTTATGTATTAATGAGGCAGGTTTATACTATTTTAGTATATGTATTAGTCTCTTGCTTTGTGTCTTCCCTCTTCCATCCTCTACTAATTTGGTTCCTCTTTTCTTCTGTAATTATATTGGCCTTGTTCAGCTGACTCATTTTTGAGTGAAAAACTCAAAAAAATGTAACTCGAGTTACAACTTTATTCGAGTTTATGTTCTTTTAAGTTTGAACTCGAGTTTAGAATTAAAACTCGAGTTCAAGTTTTCCCTTCAACTCGAGTTAAGAAACTCGAACTCAAGTTAATGAACATTATTTTTTCTATTCTTAAAAATGCTATAACTTTTTCGTTTTAATTCTGATTGAGATGCTTTTTTTTCTATGCGTTGACAATGAAAAGACGAATAAAACTAGACCTATATACCCTATTAAAATTTTTCATCAGCATTGAGTTTTTATTAAAATATTATCTAAATACAAATTCAAGTTTTGACTTACTCAAACACAAACTCAAAAAAGATTTTTATCTCAAACCATAACTCAAATGTACACAACCAAATACAAACTCAAGTTACAACTTCAACTCAAGTTATAACTCAAACTCAATTCAAAATCTACACTCAAGTTACGTAACTCAAAAACATCAAAAGAACAAGCCCATTGTTTCTTTCTTGGTTATGCTATTTCATTTTCTGTTCGTTTGTTTGTTTTTTCTCCGAATATTTGAGTTTTCTTTTCTCTTTGACTTCATTTTTAGAAAAATAATACGTATTTAATTTTGAGCTAATTTTTTTTATTATTTGTATACAATTATTTTTTCATTTCTTAATTTTTTTTATTATTTGTATACATTTATTTTTTATTTTTTTTTCATTTCTTAACATTCCTATCTTACAGTTAAAGAAGACAACACAATGGATCTTATAGGCGTTATTATTTTATAATTTATATATATCTATATGTACATATAAATATATGTTGGCTTCTAATATTGCACGTGTATATATTGTTAATATGTTTGTAATAATATAAAATTTTTTATGTAATACAACATTATATACTACAATAACGCTATAAAAATTTTTATGTGATATAATATTATATACTGCAGCAACGCGTGAAATTCATGCTCATTTAATCTAAACTGAATGAAAACATTTCTTAGTTTTGGAGACGAAGAATGAAGAAGTAAGGAGGTACGAAAAATTAGGGTTTAACAAAGTGACACTTGTTGGCCTCGTACGACATATTGAAATGTGTTATGTGTAGTTAATTTTTTGTTGGCTCTTGATGACAAAAGACCGTTTCTGAATGATTCCTAAACGACATGCCGTATCTGTTAACAACAAAACAATCTTTTTTTATTAAATAAGAAAACAATATTTTGTTGCGACCTTCTCCGGTACGTCAATGTATCGCTATGTTAAGTTTATTATTCGTCAGATTTGTATAAAATTACGTAAAAATTAAAAAATATGCAGATTTAACGGTTAAAAAAACTTAATTTACCGGTACGTTAGACGTACAAAAGAATTTCCTTTTTTTTGTTTCAATGTTGATTTTTATTTTCACTTTTTTACTTGTCACAGAGGACTTTTTTTCTTTTATTTTCAAATTTCAATTGTTCCTCAAAAACAAAAACAAAAAACAAAAAACAAAAACAAAATAACATGTCAATTGTTATAGGGAATTTTTAATAATTTTTTGTGCTCTTTTTGGCCGATTTAGTATTTTCGTATTTTCCTGTTGGGTTCTGTTTTATATCATAACATCTTTTCTTACGCCCTGTTCTAATATTTTCAAATGTTACACAATAACATATAAATCCCAAATGTTAGTAGTTATAGTAGAAAAATTAAATAAATATAATAATATAAAAATAAGTAACAGTAAATTTTGGAGCTGAGGATGACAATAATTCCGATGTGGGTTTTTAACTAAATACAACTAAGTGTGATCTTTTTATTCTTGAAAT